AATCTGTCTGCACGCTGCCCATGTGGCTGAATGTCACACACATGTGGGTGAATCTATCTGCGCTCAGCCTTGTTGAAGTACGTTGTCACTGCCGCACTGCATCCAAGGCCTCTTTCAGATCAGGAGGTTGATCCAAAAAAAGAGGAGGCTGGTGATATTTGCAGGTTGTCATGCAGGGTTTTACATTTGGTGGGGTGTTGTTGTAGTGCTTGTTGTTCCAATACGAACAAATAACTGCGCTACTCACAGCAAGCGTGTTGCAGATAACCAAAGATTGTAGAAACAAGTAGGGACGCGGCGGGTTTTGTGTTCGCAAAGGCAAAAAAGACACGAGCTCACGAAGAAAACAGCCGCGGAGTTCGAAAATGCAATTTCGGTAGAAAACGATCCGTTGGGCCTTTTTTCCTTTTATCTTTCCCTGTCTGACATCACGGCCGACCTAGTTATGACACCTGGTCTGACACCACGGTCGTGGTACTTGCATTGCATTTTCGAACTCGGCAGCTGTTTCCGTTGCACGTATGTGTTCTTTTTTTCGCGCATTAGAAACTCAAAGGTGGCATGCACATAGTTGCTCCAAGATTGTATCCCTTCCTGCCGGCGTTGACGGGCATAGGCCTGGACCCCACAGAAATGCGGATGGGAACATTTCCAGTACCCCACAACCCTCCGTCGAGTCCTTGGACGGATGCTTTTTTTTGCCAAGAATGGTTTTCCGGGACCCCACAACCCGAGATTTGTGGTGTGGAAGAACGGGATTTTCCATTTTCACATGCTTTCCGGCCTGGAAAAGTCCCATGGGAGCAATTACCGCCGCGATTTTGTGCCGAGTGCAGCGGAGCGGGTAGGGGGGGCCGGCATCTTCAAACTTTCCAAGGGCGTTTCTCCCGCCCGGACTTCCGTTTCTCCTCACCAACTTCGTCATGTGATCCTGGAACATGGTGGTCTCGGCCTCCTTGTCACCCACCGTGGGACCGTCGCCAAGGGATGTGGTCCCATGTGCCAAGGGTCAGAAACATGCGGACCGTGGCCCGCTGTTTTGAAAATTCGGATTCAAAAATTCGGGCTCAACAGCTTACCGTTGGCATCAGCAGACATAAGGCAGTGCAAGCAGTCGGGAGCGAGGACGACGGCCAGCAACACATCCATTGTGCATGTGCCCGCCTGCCGGCCGTATCCAACGCATGTGCAAAGCCATTTCCATGCACAGATCACAACACCTCCATTGCCGCGGTGCGCCGTGGACCTCACTTATTCACTAGCAAGAAATGAAAGTTTCTTACACGTTGTGCTTAAATCAGTTCTCAAGGAGGGTCAGGTCGTTGCAAACATAACATACGAAACTCGACCCCCCGGCCACGGCCGGGGCGGTCGCAGGTCAGGGGGACTCATAGCATAAGGGAGAGTAAGATATCAACACAATCACCCTAGGGCCCAGCGAATTCTCCCCTAGAATAACAAGATGTTAACTCCCCCCCACCAAGCCAACTCTCCCCCTCTTGCCTTAGGCTGCCCGTAACAGCCCCACGGAGCACAGTCACAGAACAACCATACCCCTTGCTACCTCATGGTAACGGAGAACACTTCGATGACGACCTCCCATATGATAACCAAAACCGTTCCAGAGCCACCAACGAACAGCAAGCAGGCATGAAGACGATCAACGTCACTCCTTAGAAGATGTTTTTCCATCATCCCAACCACCCACACTACCTCTAGGATCTCGTGCAATCACACCCGCCTCGGCTCACCGGCCGCTCCCCCCACCACACCAAACTCCAGATGACAGCGCCTCTTCCAAGCAGTGCACACTTGTGTACCCGCCTCGACTCACCAACCGCTCCCACCACCAAGGCAGTGCACACTTATCAAACCAGAAGCAATACTCCCTGCAACGCCCTCATCACCATGCCCACCACGCCTCACCTCGATCGTCAACCCCCATCACCACCTTCCTGTACAACCATTCGTACAGCCATTCGCCAATGTGGAAAAATCCCAAGCAGTCAAGATACTAAGATAGTGAATTTAGTGTGGTGGTCAAAGCTTTTAGTGTTGTTGGATGAGCCCACATAGTATTAGGTAGTGGTTTGGTTTTCTGTTAAATCTATTGAGGTAGAACGTGTGATCTTCATTGCAAGAGGTAGAGCACTGGATGGGCTACCTTCTTATCTTAACCCAAAAAAATGCGTGCATACATTCTATTGGAATAACCTATGGAAATCGGGTTTTCATAAATCACTTTTTCCTTTCCAAATAGAACACAAGGTCGAATACAATGCACGTACGTTGTATTCGAATTCAACGCACGTATATTGTGTTCGAATTATCGCAATTTTAATTTTACAAAGAGAAGCAGAAAAATCCGGAAAATAAGATGGTTGTACAATATTGCAATACAAACAGCTTTTGCTTGACGGTTCTTTCCAAATTCACAAACCAGAGTAAAAATGCATTGTATGGCAGAGACTTCTCGTATCTTATTTTTGTAGAATTGCGATTTAAAACAAAAAAAATCTGGAAAGAAAAGTATGTTTTACAAAATTGCAATACAAACAACTTTTGCCTGAGTGTCTTCACTAAATTCGGAAGTTCGGAACCAAATTCGAGAGGAAAAAATAAACATAACGGCAGTACTACATGCTTTTGAAAAGTTGTGCCCTAAAACTCGTTGTATAACGCTGGGTAGCACCACGTACGCGTACGCGGTGGATACACGTACGTATGCGTGCGTACGCATACGTGCCCAAAAACCAGCATACGCGTACGTGGTTTTTTTTTTTTTTTTTTTTTTTTACACATATATATAATGTATATATAATATATATAGTCAGTATTTTGTGACATATATCGTCCTCCTCCTCCTCCTACCCATCCTCCTACCCCTCCTCCTACCCCTCCCGTGGTACTCTGTCTATTTGTTCTCCCCCTCCTTTCTGTTTGTCTATCTGTCTGTCTGTCAGTCAGTCTGTCTGTCCGTCAGTCAGTCAGTCTGTCCTCCCCCTCCTGTCTGTCTGTCTGTCTGTCTGTCTGTCTGTCTCTCTATCTGTCTGTCTGTCTGTCCTCCGCCCGTCTGTCTGTCTGTCTGTCTGTTTGTCTCCTCCTCCTCCTACTACCCCTCCTCCTACCCCTCCTCCTACCCCTCCTCCTACCCCTCCTCCTACGCCTCCTACCCCTCTCGTGGTACT